AAAAATATTTATTTATAATATACGTTTTGACACGGATTGTGTGCCATCATTCAGCAAATTTTGTTAAACAGTAACGAATACTAAAATTAACTACGTGATTTGTTCACAAAATATTCAGTTTTTACGCTATTTTAGTAAACGAGCCTAAAGAAGTTTAACTTCAAAAATTTTAGATCGTATTTTATATCGTTGTGCGGTATGGTTTGAAAGGTCTCGACCGAGTAGAAAGCGATTTTCACAAAAAAAATAATTATATTGTAATAAAAACGTTAGACACATAACCTTACTTTATTGCAAAAAATAGTAGAAAGTTAAAATTTATCGTTTTTTTTTGTAAGAAATATGTGATGGTTAACTTTTGTAGTGAATATTGAAATTAACTATGTGATTTGCCCATGAAATGTACACTTTTTACGCATATTTAGTAAACGAGTCTAAAGAAGTTTTACTTAAAAAAATTTAGATTGTATTTTATATCGTTGTAAGGTATCGTTTGAAAGGTCCCGACGTATAGAAAACGATTTTCACAGAAAAAGAGATTATATTGTAATAAAAACATTAGATACATAACCTTATTTTATTGCAAAAAATAGTAGAAAGTTAAAACTTATCGTTTTTTTTGTAAGAAATTTGTGAGGGTTAACTTTTGTAGTGAATACTGAAATTAACTATGTGATTGGTTCACAAAATATTCACTTTTTACCCATATTTTGTAAACGAGGCTAAAGAAGTTTAACTTCAAAAATTTTAGATTGTATTTTATATCGTTGTGGGGTATCGTTTAAAAGGTCTCAATGAGTAGAAAACGATTTTCACAAAAAAATATGATATTGTAATAAAAACATTAGATACATAACCTTACTTTATTGCAAAAATTAGTAGAAAGTTAAAGTTTATCGATTTTTTTGTAAGAAATTTGTGAAGGTTAACATTTGTAGTGAATCTTAAAATTAACTATGTGATTTGCCCATGCAACGTACACTTTTTACGCTATTTTAGTAAACGAGCCTAAAGAAGTTTTACTTCAAAAATTTTAGACTGTATTTTATATCATAGTCAGGTATCGTTTGAAAGGTCTGGACGAGTAGAAAACGATTTTCACAAAAAAAATTATGATATTGTAACAAAAACATTAGTAACATAACCTTACTTTATTGCAAAAATTAGTAGAAAGTTAAAATTTATAATTTTTTTGTTCGAAATATGTGAATGTTAACTTTTGTAGCAAATACTGAAATTAATTATGCGATTCGTTCACAAAATATACACTTTTTACGCTATTTTAGTAAACGAGCCTGAAGAAGTTTAACTTCAAAAATTTTAGATCGTATTTTATATCGTTGTGGGGTATCGTTTGAAAGGTCTCGACGAGTAGAAAACGATTTTCACGAAATTATTATAATGTAATAAAAACATTAGATACATAACCTTACTTTATTGCAAAAAATAGGAGAAAGTTAAAATTTATCGTTTTTTTTTGTAAGAAATATGTGAGGATTAACTTTTGTAGCGAATACTAAAATCAACTATGTATGTGATTTGCCAATGAAATGTACCCTTTTTACGCAATTTCAGTAAACGAGTCTAAAGAAGTTTTACTTAAAAAATTTTAGATCATATTTTATATCGTTGTGGGGTATCGTTTGAAAGGTCTCGACGAGTAGAAAACGATTTTCACAAAAAGATATTATATTGTAATAAAAACATTAGATACATAACCTTACTTTATTGCAAAAAATAGTAGAAAGTTAAAATTTATCGTTTTTTTTTTGTAAGAAATATGTGATGGTTAACTTTTGTAGTGAATACTAAAATTAACTATGTGATTGGTTCACAAAATATACACTTTTTACGCTATTTTAGTAAAGAAGCCTAAAGAAGTTTAACTTCAAAACTTTTAGATCGTATTTTATATCGTTGTGGGGTATCGTTTAAAAGGTCTCAGCGAGTAGAAAACGATTTTCACAAAAAAATTAATATACTGTAATAAAAACATTAGATACGTAACCTTACTTTATTGCAAAAATTAGTAGAAAGTTAAAATTTATAATTTTTTTGTTCGAAATATGTGAGTGTTAACTTTTGTAGTGAATACTAAAATTAACTATGTGATTTGTCCATGCAACGTACACTTTTTACGCTATTTTAGTAAACGAGCCTAAAGAAGTTTAACTTCAAAAATTTTAGACTGTATTTTATATCGTTGTGGGGTATCATTTAAAAGGTCTCAACGAGTAGAAAACAATTTTGACAAAAAAATTATTATATTGTAACAAAAACATTAGATACATAACCTTACTTTATTGCAAAAAATAGTAGAAAGTTAAAATTTATCGTTTTTTTTTTGTAAGAAATATGTGATGGTTAACTTTTGTAGTGAATACTAAAATTAATCATTGTTCACAAAATATACACTTTTTACGCTTTTTTAGTAAACGAGCCTAAAGAAGTTTACTTCAAAAATTTTACATTGTATTTTATATCGTTGTGGGGTATCATTTAAAAGGACTCAACGAGTAGAAAACGATTTTCACAAAAAAAAATATGATATTGTAATAAAAACATTAGATACATAACATTACTTTATTATGCCTCAAGGTTAAACAAAAAAAATCTAATTATATATATATATATATATATATATAGGATATATATATATATATATATATATATATATATATATATAATAGTATATATACATATACATATACATATATATATATATATATATATATATATTTATATATATCTATTACAACTTACATTTCCTGTAACGTTGACACCCTGTTCGTATTCAATTCCTCAGCTTTCTCCAAGAGCTTCGAAGCAGTTGCACATAACGAATTAACAGAAATTTCTGGTGGAGTCACCACAGGAGGAATCATTGGTGCCGTAACTCCAGGATGATAAATTTGGGGTGCCACTACAGGATGATTTACAGCCACGGGTTGTGTCACAGGATTATTTTGTGGCAAGAAGCCTGTTCCGATACCAAATCTGCCTGTTTTGTCTGGGGCGGATTCCCTAGATATAAAAAGATAGATTAATATTAAAATTATTTATTATAGACAATAAAGTATTTATAATAGGTAATAAACTATTTATTAATAGATAATAAGATATATTCATGTCTTGTTGCACAAATATGAGTTGTGATAATTTTTATAGGTTATGTCATTGTACTTAATTGAAAAGTTTCTGCTACACACTAGTTTATATCAAAATACAACTGCTGAACTGATTTTAGTTATATACATATTATAATAACACACATACTATACTGCTAGTATCTGAAAATTTTATTTTACTTCAAATTTATACAATTCTACTTCTCCTTGTTAGTTGTGTTTTGACAGTTTGATTTATAATTAAGTACAAATTATATTATTTATTTATGTATAAATTATCTCACCATTGAGGAAACTGGTTCCAGAACCAAGGATAATGATAATTATACATTTTGAACTAAATATTTTATTTAAAAATAAGTTTCAATATTAACTACGAAAAATATGTGGCATTAAATTCAACTGTAATCTTTGCTTGTTATGAAAAACGTGTACAAACAAAATGTTTAGGGTTGCCATGATGGAATTGGAGCTGTCAACTTTAAAAACCGTTAGGATTTGAATTTGAAATTTAAACAAATGATTGAAAAATTGTGGATTTATCGTTTGAAAATGTTATAGATTGTTTGAAAATGTTGCAAATTGTTTAAAAATGTTGTGAGTTATCTGAAAATGTTGCAGATTGTCTGAAAATGTCAAATTGTCTTACAATGTTGTCTGAAAATATTGTAGATTTTCTGAAAATGTATATTGTTTGGAAATGTTGTAAATTGTTTGGAAATTTTTGTTAATTGTTTGGAAATATTGTAAATTGTTTGGAAATGTTGTCAATTGTATAAAAATGTTGTGAATTGTCTGAAAATGTTGTAAATTGTCTAAAAATGTCATTAATTGTTTAAAAACGTTTGTAAACTGTCTGAAAATTCTGTTAGTTTTTTAAAAATATTATAAAATGTCTAAAACTGTTGTGCATTACTCAAAAATGATGCAAGTTAATCAAAAATTTTGCAAATTAAGTTAAAATGTTGCACACCGTCGTTTTTGTTTCGTCTGTATTTATATCTATATTTATAATATTCTAATTGTTGTCCTATTTATTGTCATATTAAAAATGAAAAAACTTACATTCTTACCCATTTTCCATCTTTATCGTAATGCCCAAACCCTGTCGGTTCACGTTTGCCAGCTATCACCCTAAGAAAAAAAAAAATCATAATTATATTTAACAATAATTTATAGAAAAAAAAATTACAATGCCTATAGCATTAGAATGAATAAAATATATGTAAAATAAATTATATAAAGTGAGTAGTATACTAACTTATTCCATTTATTATAAAAAGACTGTAGGTTAAACACCTACTATGGTACTATCTAACTGATATTTTTAAAATAAATCTATTAAAGCAAACTAATTATACATATTTAAATAAAAATGTTCAAAAACTGATAAATCTCTTATTTCACCTCATTATGTATTGCGTTTATAATTATTAAAATGTATATAGCAATTATAATTACTTACTTTTGATGTTGTTTGCCCATATAATGCTGTTGAGCATGTTGTTTCGATGTTAGTACAAGATCGCAAGCCTCACAATGCAATTTTACTCCGTCATCATTCTATAAAAATAAAGATATACTTTATAAAAAAATTCTAAAACTAAAATAAATAAATCGAATTTTAAATAAATTTAAAATTCAAATATCACAAAAAAAAATAGTTTGAGAATTTCTGCTTAAAATTATTCTTTTAATTATCACTACTGAAATTATTGCTTATTTTTTATTTTGAATCTAAAATTTCTTGAAAAATTGTATGAAGCATTATTAATTAACTTCCCAAAGGAGAAGTTTATGTTTTCATCAAAAAATCCAATTCGATAATTTTATGTTTTCTCGACGTTTCAAGCCATTCTGAATCAAATGAGACCAAATTTGGAAAAAGTATGTGTGTGTGTGTGTGAAGAATTTTTTTATAAATCGACGTTTTCTCAAAAACGGCTGGGTCGATTTCAAAAATTTAAAAGCCATTCAATGTATCTCGACGAGAACTATTGTTTGACAGTTTTGTGCGACGATCGGCCAAGCCGTTTCTTTATAAATGGCAGAAAAGTGAAAAATTTTTCGTCTACGTTTTAGCCCGCAATTCTGAATCGATTTTAAAAATTCAAAAACCGTTCGAGAGATATTGGTTGGGAATCGTGCTGATTAGTTTTTGGTAGAGATCGGCCGGGCAGTTTTCTTGTAATAAAGTTAAAAAAAAAATTCGACGATTTTTATGATTATTTTTTTGACGGTAGATACCATAGTCTTCTAGATCATACTAAAATATTACGGCCATACGACAACTGGTTCAGCTTTAAAAATTCGTCAAAGTTTGCAAAAATCAGTATGGTCTTTTTGGCATTTGTCAAAATTAGACTTTTGATCGACGTTTTCTCAAAAACCGCCTGAACCGATTTTAGAAATTTAAAAGTCATTTGATGTATTTCGGTGAGGACTATCGTTTGTCAGTTTTGTGCAACGATCTGACAAGCCGTTTCTTTGTGATTCGAAAAAAAAAGTGTTAAACTTTTCGTTCACATTTAAACTCATCCTACCGAATCGATTTTAAAAAATCAAAAACTGTTCGAAAGATATCATTTGGGAATGGTACTGATTAATTTTAGATGAAAATCTACCAAGCCGTTTTCTTGTAATAAATTGTTGAAAAAAAAATTTAAGCCGATTTTCATGGAACTTTTTTTGGCGATATACATCATGGTCTTATAGAACTTACTGTAATATCACGGCCTTACGACAAGTAGTTTAATTTTAAAAATTCGTCAAACTTTGCTAAAATTATTATCGTTTTTTTTTTAAAGTAGGATTGATGAAGTATATTATTTACACATTTTTTTTTGATTAAGTCGATTATTTACACATATCGGGAAGTTCATGTAACTTGCCTCAAGGCTAAATACCAAACCAACTAGTTTTTTAATTTGAATCCAAAATTTCTTCAAAAATTGTATGAAGCTTTATTATATTAAAATAAAATAAATAAATTATTTCTTTTATCAAAACTTTCAATTTTACTATAAATATTAAATAATTTTTTTTCCCACCTGGTTCACGCATAATTTCTTCGGCATCGGTTCTCCAGTTTTTAGCGACCATTCTTCTAAATATCTATTTACTTTTTTCTTGTGTTGTTTGGAGTTGTAATGAGCAAAAACTGCAAAAATAACAATTAATTATAATTATAAATGATTATATAATAAAACAAGAGGTGTATGGCATCGTGCCTTAAGGCAAATTGCTGGAACTTCCTGTAAAGTAATGAAAAACTCGAGGAATATTAATTGTTTTCAAATAGATTATTATAAATGCTGTAACTTTCATTATACACATTTTATAGACAAAATATAAGAGCTTATAAATTGGACGACGACGCTTATATATGTTTACATGAAAAGTGAATAAAACAAACTTAATCAAACAAAGTTAGAATAAAGGACCTTATCTCATATTTCTAAGAATTATATAAACTGAAGTGCAAAGTTAAAATTAATCATTGCAAGTATATAAGTGAGCTTTAGAATTTTAGCTAGAATTAAAATTGAAACCCAAATAATTTTTGATAATCAACAGAATATGTTTTGGAATTTATTATTATTATTATTATTTTCTTACTGCTTTTATTAGAAGATCCCCTCACTTCGCAAAGTCCGCAATAAAGTGGTTGAAATTTTTCAGATAATTCTTTTGGAAATTTTGCGATAGCCTCGAATTGATCACGAGCTAAAATATTAAAATAAAGAAAACTGTTAATTGTAAATAATTTAATCATTTAATTATTTAATATTAATCATCGACTTACGTAGTATTCGTTTTCTATCAGGCTGTGAGTATGCGATGACACCTAGAAAGAAGGAAAATTATATTAAATATAAATTGTTAGTGAAAATATATAATATTAAATAGATGTAAGTAGTTAAGGCCTTAAGACAAGTCTCGATGTGTAAATAATCGACTTAATCAATAAGATATCAATACATTAAGTGATTTATATGTATACTGAGTAGTTGTTTATTATTATAACGTTATAAGCCATTGCAGGTTATTAAATTTTGTACAAATTTTGCAATAGTGTTTGTTATTTTCAACAAAATGTTTGAATATCACACATGATTAAAAAATGATTAGAAAGTAATATAGTGATTACTACTATAAATTGTTGAATTGATATAAAAATTGATATTAGTCAAATAATTTAAATTTAACTACATAATTTACTAATTAACTTCCCGTAGGGCAAGTTATACTAATCGCAAAAAAAATCAAAAATGAAAATTTTTATATATCTTTACGTTTCAGAGGTTTCTGAACATTTTGGCATACCTTAGAAAAAATGGATGTATGTGTGTGTGTGTACGTGTGTGTATGTATGTGCGGATACAAATTTTCGTCGACGATTTCGGGAACACGAATCAACCGATTTGAATAATTCAAAAAACATTCGATTCGTATTGATAAGGAGACGTGCTGATTAGTTTTTGGCGAAGGCAAATCTAGCCGTTCCGAAGATACGGGGCAAAAAATGCCGAAAACGGTAACTCAGTTTTTAAGAGAACGGAGCGTCCGATTTGAATAATTCAAAAGACATTTCACTTGTATTGACAAGATGAGGAATCGATAAAATTTTCATGAAGGTAGGTCTAGCGGTTTCGGAAATATGGAGAAAAAAGTAAAAAAAATGAGCCATTTGGCGGTCAAAAATGATCATTAGACATATGCACATCAAATTATCAGATATTTTATAGAGATTTTAACAATAAGTATACATTTTGTTAACATTGCTATGGGTTCCGTACCAATGCTTATGCGTTAGACAGCGAAGCGGCGCTTACGCGCTTTATATGTTGTCCCTATGCAGTTAAAGCAGCACGATTGCTTTGAAAAAAAAAGTTGATCTTCCACAACATGTCAAAATAAAGAAAAAAAAAATTTTCAAAAAAAAAATATTTAAAAAAAAATATTTTTTTTTTTAAAAATTTTTTTTCAAAAAAAAGTAATTTTTTGTCCAATTTATAGTTTCTCAAAAATCTAATTTTTTCGAAGTAAAATTTTTTCAAAAATGTTAATCGTTTTTAAAAAAATAATAATTTTTGGTACGGGAAGTTCTAGCAATTCCACTTACAGCTAGTTTATAGCAGTAATCACTATATTAATTTAGTACAAAACTTTCGTAGATACTGTCTTCGAGTTTTTAAACTATCTATCTCTTGCAGCGCTAAAATTAATAAACTATAAGAAATGTAAATAAACCACGGCTTGAAAATGTTTTCAATTTATCTAACCTAGCCCAACAGATTAAAAATTTCTGTACATAAAACTACATCAAGAACCACGAAGAGAAACAGTATACAGTGTATGTTAAATCGCAACCTGACATCGAGCTAAAATAGATAAAAAATATTTATAATAAGCTCATCAGAAAAAATCTCACACTATGCTTCCCTGAACCGAGTTGGAGTTTAACTCACCCTAGGATAGTACCCATTATCATTTATTATGTTCAATAAATATACATACTCGAGTTCTTGTTCGATTGCAATAAAGACTTAAGTTGCACCAATATAAATCAATAAAATGTCAACATTGAAGTTAACAAACTATGAGCTCAGATATTTACATTTGTAAAAGTATACATGAAGGTATTTATCACAATAGCTCTAATTATTACACTATGTCTTATTATACTAATCGTCATGTTAGGCTAGGTCGTTGTATACTAAAGAACAAAAACATGTACACCGACTTTTATTAACTAAATAAAATGAAAAAAACTAAGCTTGATCATCAATATTGTTATTTAGTATCCATAAAACCTTTATAATCATTTGTTGTAATTAGTTTTCACTCCAAATGTCAAACAAGCGTTCTTTCCTTCATACAACAAATTAGTTCTAGAATGTTTTAGAAGAGTATATGCAGATTTAAATAAATGTATATTAATTGAAATTTAATGTTCTTACCAGTTTCAGTCGTCATTTCTATAATATTTGTCTGATTTTGTTATAATTATAAATAAACATCACTCACTACATTGAACATGATTTAAGGTTAACTCTTTGTGACAGTTTGACAGTTGTCAAAATGGCGGTCCATTATAAATTGTTTATAATAATATATAAAATAAAAACTATATATCATATATATATATATATATATATATATATATATACATTTTAAATTGGATTTATTTCCAAATTAATTGATTTAACACATTATTACTTCTTTACAACATATATTTATTAAATCATCCACCAAAATTAAACACATACTGAGTGACACTGACACTCATTGTCAAATTCGCATAGATACACTTCTGTTCCGTAAGGATCAGACATCATGCACATGACACATCCATAGAGCACACACACATCGGGATAGACACTCTTGGCCGTTACATTCAAATGATATGCATACAATATTATAATATAAATATATTTTAATAATATTTATTATTGTTAATAAATATTGCTTCAAATTTTTATTGATTGATTTTAATTTTAACTTTGTCACTGTGGCAGTTTTTAAAATGGCGGTAAATTGTAAATTGATTATTTAAAAAATTAAAATGTCTGAACTTTATTGTATAATAATATAATATAATATATTGAATAAATTTATTTAATTATATAAAATAATAATTTTGCTATAATTATAGATATGCATTGTTCTGAAAAATTAATGATTTATTTTAATGTTAAACTGGAGTTCACAGTTTTTAAAATGTTGGTTAACTAGATTCAAAATATCAAAATGTTTTTGAGCTTTATTTATAACAATATAAAGTAGAAAAGGAATTTTGTATTACTTATATAAAACGATTGATGATGTTTATCTAATTTTGCTTTAATTTAATATACCGCATTATTAATATTTTTTTTAAATTAAAATTTGAGAGTTATGAAAATGTCGGTTAATATTAAATCGCGTTCAAAATATCAAGATGTTTTTGATACAATATATAATGATAATAATAATAAACAATGATACATGATACAATGATAATAATAAATAAACAATGATACAATATTTAAAAAAAAATATATTACTAATAAAACAAATTTAATACTATTTATCTAATTTTGTTATTGTTTAATATTCTGTTTAATATTTAATATTTGATTTAATAATTTTGACAGTTTTCAAAATGTCGGTTGATTATTTAAAATATCAAAATATTGTTGATCTTTATTAATAACAATAAAATATACATAACAAATTTTTAATTACTAATAAAACAATTTTTATAATATTAATCTAATTTTAATGTAACGAATTATTAATGATTAATTTTAATTTTAAATCGCTTTGACAGTTTTCAAAATGTCGGTCAAACGCATTTAAAATATCAAAAAACTTTGTCGAATTTTATTAACAACGATGCAATATATAAAATGAATTTTATATTACTTATGAAACGATTTTAATAACATTAATATAATTTTGATTTAATTATAAATATAGATTGCTCCCAAATATTAATAATTTATTTGAATTAAAACATGTTTGACTAATTGTTTGATTTTTCAAAAAGTCGGCCAATTTCGAATTTCAAATGTCAAATATCAAAATGTTTTTGATTTTTTAGTAAAAATTAATTCTATAACATATATGCAATAATTTCTAGAATATTAATCTAAATTTTCCGTTATTATAAATATACATTGTTCCAAAATATTAATTATTTATTTTATTGTTAATTTATGGTTAATTCATTTTGACAGTTTTCAAAATAACGGTTAATTATAAATTGATAGATTTAAAATATTAAAATGTTTGAACTTTATTAATCACAATGTATTTAATATATAAAATAAGTTTTATAACATTAATTTTGCTATTATTATAATAATAGTTTTTTTATGATTTTTTGATTTGATATCAGTTTTCAAAATGTCGTTCAACTATACAAATTTGAAAAGTTTGGATTTGAAATTTGAATAAGTTGAAACATTATTAATAACAATATGTAATATATAAAATAAATCATATAAAATATATAAAACAATTTCTGTAACATTAAGCTAATTTTAATATGTTAATAAATAAACTTTTTAATGATTAATTTTAATTTGACAGTTTTCAAAATGTCGGCCATTTATTAACTAAATATAAAATTTAAAAATGCTTGAAGATTATCATTTTTTGTGATTGTCGTAAAAACTTAAAATGTTTGAATAAATAATAATCAGTGAATTATTCAGATTAAATTAAATATATCATTGCATTTTTAAAATTTATACCAAAAATTCTTTAAATTCAAACTCTTTATGGACACGCTAATGAAAAATCTAAATTTTCTTGCCTTTTAAAGTTTTGATTTCATTGACTTATTATTATTAAACATCTTCAAATTTTACAAATTCATAAATTATTTAAATTAATATTGCATAACTATAATTATAATTATAGTTAATTATAATATTAAATCAATAATTTAATAAAAACAGTATACTCGTTTTTATATTTTAATTTCTATTGTCTCTGATAGTTCCACTTAAAATTTTTTTTTAAATCTTTTGATAAAACAATCATAAAGCACTTTATATATAAATAGTGCATATAAAAATCACAATATTTCTCTAACAAATAATAAAACTTTTAAAAAATCTACTAATAAATAAAATATTAATCTAAATACATACCCTAGATGATAATAGAATATATATTATTATTTATTGATCCCAAATATATTTAACTTTAGGTATATATATTTATAAATATCAAGATTCATACTCAGTTTTTATATAAACTCAATTGCTCTTCTAGATCTTCCATATCGGACACTTTGAATTTGTCTTCTTGTTCTTTCAACAATGCAAAAATTTTGGCAAGTTGTTCTTTCACGGCTCTGGTAATAAAAGATTAAATTAATAAATAAATTTATATATATATATATATATATATATATATATATATAATTATTACCATCTATTACCCCCAACTCACAATTACTTACTGTTCTTCCTCAGCCTTCTGTTCAGGCGTCAACTTAACATTGACATCCTTAAAAATAGTCTTACGTTTAACAGTATTCAAATCCCAAATGTCCAACTTATCAGCATCATCGTTGTTGTGCAAAAGAATTTTATCAGTATTATCATTCATTGAGTCTTGTGTGTCTCGAATATTATTTTCAGTGTTACTCGTTTGAGACTTTGTGCTGACAGGACTTGCATATATGAAGGGAAACTGAAAAAGACAACGGGTGAAGATGTAAAGGAAAGCTAGGTAAATGATAAAGGTAATATATATATATATATATATATATATATACATATATATATATATATATATATTTATTTATTTATATTTATATAGAAGGCTTGATAGTGCTATTAGTTATTCATCTTATTATTCTTTACCATCCTCTCGAACCATTCAATGACAGGAACTTCCAAATGCAGAAGTAAAGTCAAAAGTGCACTGACACCTGTCACAAATACTGTAATAACCAGATACCAGGACAGATTGTCATAATAAATGAATAAATTTTCAGAAAAATTCGTAAAAAACATTTTTATTGGAAATTTTGACATTTTACAGAGAAATACATTTTTGTTTATCTAATTTTGACAGTTCGTGTAGTCATGGCGACGAGCGTAGGACTATAGACGTCTCATGGATAAGAGTAGGATTATGAACGTCGCATGGATTATTTTAAAGATTTATTTAAATAATAAAATATATTATAAATAACAATACTTAACACTATTATACTTAACATTACATATTTTATTAAAAGTTAACAATTTTATACAAACTAAATTCACTATTTTTACGATTAAAGTCAGTACAAATAATGCACTCGCACTTAATATACTAATAAATAATGCACTTTATATACAAATAAATAAATTTTAAAATTAAAATTAAATTATAATGAATTTCTTAAATATATTTTTTTTTATATAAGTTAAATTAAGGAGCTAATTTTTGAATAAAATAGAAATGTTATGGTAATGATATATTGCGGGTCTATAATCATATATATATATATATATATATATATATATATATATATATATATATATATATAGGTAATAACAAATTGTCAAAAATCTATGTATTTGCTGTGCGATCAGGTGTTTTACACATAAAACCTAACTTCACGTATATTTTTTGACAGTTTTTACTACCAACTCATACGAAGATAGACCGTGACATAGAATTATCATAACATTTCTATTTTATCAGATAAAATTTTATCCTAAGTCTAAAATTTAAATATTCTACAAAATTAAATTGACAACAAAATTATAAATACTATATTTTTTGCATAATAAATTTACTTAAAATCTAAGTCAAACTAGTGGTGTATGGCTTGGTGCCTTAAGGCAAATTGCTGGAACTTTTGGTACCGTAATGAAATGTTCGAGAAATTTTAAACGTTTTCAAATATATTATTACAAATACTGCAACTTTTGTTATTTTTGCTATCTTGTTATGTCTGAGCAAATCAAATGTAAATCATAAATAAATCAATTTATCTCCAGAACATTAACAATCGTCATTTCAATTCGAAATCAATTTCAAAAAAAATAGTTGCCTAATTTACACTAAATTGAAAAATTTGTCACAAGTCTTGTATAGTCACAGTCTAAACGCATTTGCAAATAATTCTGTTTGACATTTTCACTTATACTGTGCTTAGCTTGGCGGCATTTTCACATTTTTCAATAGTTTTTTCACAAAATTGGAAAATTGGGTAAACATTTGTACCAGAGTGGCGCTTAGACTGTGCTTAGCCTGGGTATTTTTTTCAATTTTTATTCTAAATTTACAAAAATATTTTATGGAAAATAAAAAAAGATGTAATAATTTTTTATCCTCAAAAGCAATTGTTTTGTCAATACAAGCAGAAAGCTTTTAAGATCATTCAAATCGGATGCTTAGTTCACTCAAAAACTGCCATTTTTTGCACATTTAGCTCTGAATATCCAAAACGCCTGGGACTACCTTTGCCAAAAACTAATAGCCACTTTTCCCCGTCATTACGAACTAAATGTTTTATGGATCATATAAATCCGATGCTCCGTTCTCTCAAAAACTCGATTTGTATTTTGTGCACTCTTTGCTCCGTATCTCTGTAACGGCTGGACCTGCCTTTGCCAAAAGCTAATCAGCACATCTCCCTATCAATAGGGACCAAATGTCTTTTAAACCATTCAAATCGGTTGATCCGTGCGAAAAAATGTGGACATACAAAACACACACACACACACACGGACACACCCACTTAGTTTCTGAGGTATGCCTTTTAAAAAGTTCAGAAACCTTCAAAACGTCAAAACGCAAAAATTCTGCATTTTCGATTTTCGGTCCATTACTATAACTACCATACGGGAAGTTAATAATATTTTATTAGAACCTCATACACCAAAGCAATTTGCCTCAAGGCAAACTTAGTTACAACTCCATTATACAAGCCTAAAGAACCACATATCTTTTGTCTAGGCATCCTGCCAAAATCACAGGTTTTTAATTCCCAAATTCCCCAAATTGGCAACAATAAATAAAAAATCTGTTCACACACACACACACACACACATACACATACTTTTTCCAAATTTGGTCTCATTCGATTCAGAATAGCAGGAAACGTCCAGGAGAAAACATAAAATTAGCGAATCGGATTTTTTGATGAAAACATAAACTTCTCCTTCGGAAAGTTAATAAATGTCCAACTACAAATGAGATGAAGTAAAGCACATTGCTTTTAAAAATTCCTGTAATAATATAAGTTGGAAAATATAATGTAGAACGTATAAATACATATATAGCTTACATGTGACGGTATATAAGGTTAATTACTGTAAATAGTGAGTAAATAATTATAATTCAAGTTAAAGATTTGATATGACTTGTGGAGTTAATCAAGTTGTCAACTGAAAAAAAATAATAAACCTAATTCTTATATATTTGTGTTAAAGCATTTTCATAAAAATAAATGTTAACTGTTGTAATATATTATTTGTGATTAATCAGTAATTCTATAAATAATATTTTCTCTATCAGCTGTATTCTATGATGAATTTTAGCAAGTCCTTTATGGCTCTCAATTTTTCCTTTTTCAAAGTTCTAGCTTTGTAATATAATAACGACTATTGTATATTATTCAAACATTTTGGTCAACCTGGTACAGACTTTCTTATATTAATAGCTTTAAAATACGTATCTTCATTAAAGGCACATTTAAATTATATAGGATTGGCTTATATAAGATTTCTAACTTTATGCAGCGTATTTTAAGCAAATTTACTGGACACTCTGTAATGGTTACTTTTCTGTTAGTGATTGTTCTAATGGCTTTGTTGATAAAAAAATCTTCGTGGAATATTTGGATTAACTAAAATAGCTCTTTCCTTTTACATGTTTTTATTATATTGTACCAATTATCTAGTGAAAAAATGTCTCGATTTTTTTTGCACGTGACTCAATAATCTAGTCAATAGGTAAATAGCTATTTCCACTGACCAGAAATTTCATTTCAATTGACTTAGCTCTTATTTCCGTATTTTAAACAAGTTTCAATAAACTTAAGACAGTTTTAATATTTCTGTTTTGCCGGGTACACGAATTTTAGTATTTAGTATGTAAACATCCTTTAGAGACTCTACAGTTTTTTGCCAAACAATCTTAGGGTTTATGTTTTTATCAAATTCTTATTTGTGATTCATGAAACCCGAAAACCGGTCCAGCCGGAACATATGCACTACAAAATGGAGTTAATCAAAATGTCTTCTGAAATAAATGACTTATTATTCAGAGGTAAAAAAAAAATTATGTTTCACAGTGTTAATTTTCATTATTCCGAAAAGTCATTATTATCACTAACAGTTATGATTACACTGAGTACTTTCGCACGAATATCTCAGTTTTTTCAAAAAATGGAGTTAGTCGATGTGTGCACTGAGCGGCTCAAATTTCATTTTGGTACCAACCTAGATACACTATCATAAGGTGTGTCTTTTAAGTATTTATACGAACCGCTACCACCACCGTTGCCGACTGGTGCACCTCCAAAAGTTTTCTTATTGACCAGCTCTCTATTACTACCGTTGGAGGACGAATTACTACCATTGGTAACCAGTCTACCAACAGATGCTGAAGTACAGGTAACCGTTGAAGAAGAAGTTGAAGCTGGTGGTGTTGCTGCTTGGGTTGATGCATCTACGTGGTGGACGGACTTGGAACGCAAAATTGATGACGAATCTTGGTAAAAGATTTATAGTAAGAAAACAAGGCATTCAAGCAAGGTAAGTAGATAAATAAACTTTATCTATTTTCTAATCTAAACTTTATTATTTTTCCTTTCCCTTACCGCCATCTAGCGTTTGCTGCGACTTGGAGATACCATTGAAAGAACCTCCGTGCTTCCTCAACTTTCTTTCGTCCCCTGAAATCCTAGGCAAAGGTGATTCTGGCCTGATATCAATGGATCCATAACCACTATCAGCTTTGAATCGACCATTATCGGTTGCCTGAGGATAGGAAAAATAGTATAAAAATCCAGTAAGTTTGTAATACAAACGGTGCGTCCCTGAGAGCTCTTGGAATTTCATACTTATGTTTGTGTGTTATATGAAATACATAGAAGTGTGTGTGTTTATTTAATTTTAATAAAATTTTTAGTGTTGGGTAAATCAATTTTAGTACTTGGGGTTATAATATACACATTCAGGAACAATTTTGGAAAATTGCAAGGTTGTGGTACAAACGGTGCGTCCCTGAGAGCTCTCTGAATTTCATACTTATATTTGTGTGCTATATAGAATACATAGAAGTGTGTTCGTGTTTTTATTTGTAATAAAATATTTCGTATTATGTACATCAAAATTAGTATTTGGTGCTATAGTAGACACTTTTAGGATAATTTTAAAAAAATTGCAAGGTTGTTGTGCAGACGGCGTGTCCCCGAGAGCTCTTGATATTTGATACTTATGTTTGCGTGCTACATGAAATATATAGAAGTGTGTGCGTATTTTTATTTTTAATAAAATTTGTGGTATTGTGTGAATCAATTTTAGAATTTGTTACTACAGTAGACTTATCGAAGTATAGTTTTGGAAAATTGCAAGGTTGTAGTACAAACGGTGCGTCCCTGAGAGCTCTTGGAATTTCATACTTATGTTTGTGTGCTATATAAAATACATAGAAGTGTGTGCGTGTTTTTGTTTTTAATAAAATATTGTGTATTGTGTGAATCAATTTTAGTATTTGTTGTTATTCTAGACATATTTAAGGATAATTTTGGAAAATTGCAAAGTTGTTGTACAAACGGTGTGTCCCTGAGAGCTCTTGGAATTATATACTTATGTTTGTGTGCTATATGAAATACATAAAAGTGTATGCGTGTTTTTATTTTTAATAAAATATTTGGTATTGTGTACTTAAAAATTGGTATTTGGTGCTATAGTAGACACTTTCAGGATTTTTTTTGGAAAATTGCAAGGCTGTAGTGCAAAACGGTGCGTCCCTAAGCACTCTTGGAATTTTATACTTATGTTTGTGTGCTATATAAAATATGTAGAAGCATGTGCGTATATTTAATTTTAATAAAAATTTTGATGTTGTATGAATAAATTTAAGTATTTCGCGCTACAGTAGACACCTTTAGGAAATTTTTTGAAAAATTGCAAGGTTGTAGTATAAACGGTGCGTCCCTGAGAGCTCTTGGAATTTGATACTTATGTTTATGTGCTATATAAAATATGTAGAAGTGTGTGCGTGTTTTTATTTTTAATAAAATATCTGGTATTGTGTACCTCAAACTTAGTATTTGTTGCTATAGTAGGCACTTTTAAGAAATTTTTTGGGAAATTGCAAGGTTGTAGTACAAACGGTGTGTCCCTAAGCACACTTGGAATTTAATACTTATGTTTGTAGACAATATAAAATACATAGAAGTGTGTGCGTGTTTTTATTTTTAGCAATTAGTATTGTTGCTATAGTAGACACTTTTAGAATTTCTTTTGGAAAATTTCAAGGTCGTAGTGCAAACTGTGCGTTCCGGGGAGCTCCTTGAATTTTATACTTATGTTTATGTACATTGTCAAACACAAACCAGTGTGTGCGTGTATTTATTTTTAATAAAATACCTGGTATTATTTAAATCAATTTTAGTATGTACTATTATAATATATACTCCAAACAATAATTTTGTGAAATTACAAGGTTGTAGTACGAACGGTGCGTCACAAAAGCTCTTCAAAATGTATGTATCATGTTTATATATACGATGACATACAAATCAGTTTGTGCGTATATTCATTTTTAATAAAATAATTGGTACTGAGTAAAAAATTTTAGTATTCATAAATATAATATATACTTTGCAGAATAATTTTGGAAAATTACAAGGTTGTAGCACAAGCGATGCGTCCCTAAGTGCTTTTCGAATTGCATACTTAGATTCATATGTACTGTAAAATGTTAACCAGTGTGTGCGAATATTTAATTTTAATAACATATCTGGCATTAATAAAATCAATTGAAGTATAAGTAAATATAATATATACTTCTAGAAATAACTACGACAAATTACAAGGTTGTTGCTCAAACGGTGCATCCCTAACAACCCTTTGAATTCGATACTTCTGCTCATATTTACTGTAAAGTACAGAGCAGCGTGTACGTCTATTTAATTTTAATAAATGAACTCGTATTGCGTTAATCAATTTTAATATTTGTTATCATAATATACATATCCAAAAATAACTTTGGTGAATTACATAGTTGTAGAACAAACGGTGTGTCCCTGTGAGCTTTTTGAAATCGGTACTTATGAATATGTTCATTGGAACATACAAACTAGTGCGTGGGTATAATTGATTTTAACAAAATAACTAGTAATTTGTAAATCAATTTCACTCTTTGTTGTCATAATATACACGTTACAGAATAATTTTGGCTAACTACAAAGTTGTGGTACGAACGGTGCGTCCCTAAGACCTCTTCAAATCCGAGACATTGTGTAATACAAACCAGTGCGCATGTACTTATTTTTATAGATATAAAACCAATATATTTATTATAAAAGCGTTTTTTGGACAAAACATAAGCAAAACGATTAAACCAGCGATACTCAACCTTGTTTATCAAGGGGGGCCACTTGCAACGGTCATCCAGGCCGCAACTGATATGTAAACAAATAAACATTAAAATTTATCCTTTTACTAATTGAGTATTGCTGATTATAAATTTTAATTCAAATAATAATTATTATTAAACTTTAAATTAATAAAAATTATTATTTTTAATTTTACCTTTGAAATATTGTCGGCGTACACTTCGCCCGTTCTCGGATTTATGTGTTTGCTGTTTCTATGTTGGCGCCTTTGTTCGCTGCGACTATCTTCACGCTGGTGGTTATTGTTGACAGTTTGCAAAACTGCAGGGAAGTGCATGGCCGCCATTTGGTTGTTTTCTTGGGTTTGATGATTAGCGTTTTCTTCTTCCTGGTAAAAGAAAAAGATAGAAGAAATAAGTAATAACTAGTGGTGTGTGGCATCGTGCCTTAAGACAAATTGCTGGAACTTCCAGTAGAGTAATAAAATATTCGAAAAATTTCAAACGTTTTCAAATATATTATTACAAATATTGTAACTTTCATCATTTTTGCTATCTTGTTTGTTATATCTGAGCAAATCAAATGTAAATTATAAATAAATCAATTTATCTCCAGAACATTAACAATCGTCATTTTCGATTTCGAATTCAATTTCAAGAAAATAGTTGCCTAATTTACACAAAATTGAAAAAGTGCTCCCGTTTAGTCACAGTCTAAACGCATTTGCAACAATTCTGGGCGACATTTTCACTTATACTGTGCTTAACTTGGCACTTTTTGCCCCGTATCTTCGGAACGGCTAGACCTGCCTTCGCTAAAAACCAATCAGTACGTCTCCATATCAATACGAATCGAATGTTTTTTGAATTATTCAAATCGGTTGATCCGTGTTCCCGAAATCGTCGACGAAAATTTGTATCCGCACACACACACACGCACACACACGCACACACACACACATACACACACATACATCCATTTTTTTAAGGTATGCCAAAATGTTCAGAAGGTTTTGAAACGTAAAGATATATAAAAAATTTCATTTTCGATTTTTTTTGCGATTACCATAACTTGCCTACGGAAAGTTAATAATAAATAAAATAGGTATAAGTGTAACAAAATCTCAAGACTATTGGTTCCACACACATAAATAAATGTTTCATTAAACAAATCATCAGCGACTTTTTTTTATTATACTACCATAAAATTCTACTCTTCAAGACCTATTCACAGACATATCACAACCCCATCACAAATTGCCTAAAAGACTTTGTATTTTTGCCATAGTATTCCATTAGCAAGTATTGTTTTTCAATATACAAACTGCACAAAACAAGGCACTGCGACTAACACTGAACAAAACCAGAGACTCAATAATAAGACATTACTACTTAACAAAACTTGCACAAAAAAGACTGACGTCTCGACAGTATACAATTACATTAAAAGGCTTACTGACAATTTTTACTTCAAACTACAAAACGTAACAAAGTTGTTAAAGTTACGTAACAAGTGTGACGTTACTAGTTGACGTTACGTGATGAGAAAAATTACAGCTAGAATTATTTTAATTTAAAAGTTTATTCGATTAAACAAATCATCAGCGATTTTTTTTATTTTACTACTATAAAATTCTTCTTTTCGAGACCTTTTAATAGACATATACGTAACGTCACACTTGTTACGTCAACTTTAATAATTTTGTTACGTTTTGTAGTTTGAAGTAAAAATTGTCAGTAAGCCTTTTAATATAAATGTATACTGTCGAGACGTCAGTCTTTTTCTGTACAAGTTTTGTTAAGTATTAATGTCTTGTTATTGAGTCTCTGGTTTTGTTCAGTGTTAGTCGCAGTGCTTTGTTTTGTGCAGTTTGTATATTGAAAAACAATACTTGCTAATGGAAAACTATGGCAAAAATACAAAGTCTTTTAGGCAATTTGTGATGGGGTTGTGATATATCTATGAATAGGTCTTGAAAAGTAGAATTTTATGGTAATAAAAAAAAACGTTGATGATATCGGCAAGTCACCCTCACCTCGACTTCTTCTTCCGTAATAACACTACTCTGTATCCAATCCCTGATGCGCTCCTTTTTGGCGGCCCTGTCGACTACAGTTTCAATTCCATATTCGCTCAAAGTGTGCAAAAGCCTATTTTTTTCCTCCAGGTTGCTATGGAAACTGTACATTGATGGACACAACTCATCATCATCATAATCTGCAAAAAAGGAGACATCAAAATTATATTTCTTATCATAAATCTATTACCAGTTTTTGGTGTCTTACATTCGCTGGCTTTGTCTCCGGCGGTTTTGGTCAACCATCTGTCCTCCAGAAATTTGGACAAGTCTCCGAGGCCACTTGGCCTTTTTTCCACTCTTGGTTCTAAAAATCTTCTAAACATCCTTTGAGCCTTTGATGTTAAAAGTTTGAAGAGCTTGGGTTGTCTTCGTAATGGTATTGTGCTGCAGTGCCACGTATTGTACCTGATAAAACAATAACATTATCAGTACAACTTGTTGAGTTCTGAAATCTAACCTCCAAATGGCCTTAACGCCAAATAACAATATTATCTCAAGTTCAACTTTTTGTAGTCACTAATGATAACATATGCCTAAAATCCAACTAAATTTAACTCAATTCTTCGACGTTTGTGCCATTTGGAGGTTAGGTTTTATGTGTAAGACTAGCTTTTTGGACCTTCGCGACTACCAACACTTGTGGTTGTTTCACAAGACCAAAAACCAAACATAACTATATTTATTCAGAAATAAATATATTTCATCTTAAATTGGACCTTAAGTTCTTACTTTAGGTATCTAGGATCATCCTGAGCAGCCTTTTGCCAAGGTAGACAACCTGTGAGACAGACAAAGACGACGATGCGATGATTTACACATAAAACCTAACCTCCAAATGTCTCAAATGTCAAATAATGTTATTATAGGTGCTAGTCACTTATGATAACACATGCGTGAAGTACAACTAAAATTTTACTGAATGCTCTGACGTTTGTGCCATTTGGAGGTTAGGTTTCATGTGTAAGGCAAACTTTTTGGACCTTCGCGACTACCAATACATTGTGGTTGATACACAAAAGAGACCAAAATCATAACATAATTATAATTATTCGAAAATAAATATATATCATCCTTATTTGGACCCTAAGTTCTTACTTTAGGTATCTAGGATCATCCTGAGCAGCCTTTTGCCAAGGTAGACAACCTGTGAGACAAACGAAGACGACGATGCCAAATTGCCAAACATCGTGTGAGGTACTGGCTCTGAAAAAAGTACACAAAAATTGAAACTGACTAAGAAAATGTAAAAAAATTGGTGTCAAACGATACAGAATGACTTGAAACGTTAAAAATCTACAGCTGCTGCAATTTGTTTTGCAACTTTCTTCGAAACCAAGTCTCATATTTAAAGCTTTAAAGTCAATTTAAAAGTCATTTATTTGTCTAGTAGTAATGTTTTGTTATTGGTTTCCTTGATGTGTTCAGTGTTAGTCGTAGTGCTTTGTTTTGTGTAGTCTGTATTTTGAGAAATAAAGTTGAACAAATCAAATTATCTGGTAAAAATACAAAGACTTCGTGTGCTAAACATCGTGTGAAGTGTTAGCCCTAAACAAATACACAAAAATTAAAACGAGGTAAATTAAATGAAAAAACAAATCTGTGTCAAAGGATTCAGAATGACTTGAAACGTCAAAAATTTAAAGATGTTGCAATTTGTTCTCCAACTTTTTTCAAGTGCAAGTCTCAAATTTAAAGTTAAGTTGAATTTTTTATTTATTGATTAGTAATATCTCGGTATAGATTTGTTTAGTAGATAAATCAAATGAAAAAACAAATCGGTGTCAAACGATTCAGAATGACTTGAAACCTAAAAAATCTACAGCTGCTGTAATTTATTTTGGTAACTTTCTTCAAATGCAAGTCTCAAATTTAAAGTTAAGCTAAATTATTCATTTGCCGAGTAGTAATGTCTTGTAAATTGAGTGAATTAACTAAAAAAACAAATAAGAGTCAAACGATTCAGAATTACTTGTAACCAATGTAAGCAACCAATTAGCTGAATATGGTAACTTAACTATTTTATTCGCCTACAATTCATTGCAAAACATTTTAATTTTTTGACTAAATTATTAAATTTTGTGTTCAGTCTTGTCCAGTAAAATTGTTTTGTCATTGGTTTTCTTAATTTGTTAAGTGCTAGTCGTAGTGCTTTGTTTTGTGTAGTCGGTAATTAGAGAAATAAAGTTAAGCATATCGAATTTTCTGGTAAAAACACCGAGCTTTCAGGAAGTTAATAACAAATGAACTAAATTCAAATTATAATAATTCTGCCTGTGATTTTTCTGATTACGTAACCTCAACTTGTTACGTAACATTATCGACTTTGTTACGTTTCGTAGTTTTACATAATAATTTTCAGTAAACATTTTTATGTAATTGTATACATTCGATACCTCAGACTATATGTACATAAGTTTTATTAAGCAGTGATATATTGTTATTGTGTTTCTTTTTTCATCAGTGCAAGTCGCAGTGCTTTGTTTTGTGCAGTCTGTATATTGGAAAATTAGTATTGGAAACTTAGTAAATCAAATACTCTGGTGAAAATACAAAGATTTTAAGGAAGTTAATAACAGGTAACTAAAATATTTCTATCTGTGTTCTTTTCCAGTTGTTACGTAACGTATCATTTCAAGTTGTTACGTAACATTAATGGTTTTGTTACGTTTTGTAGGTTGACCTAAAAATTTTCAGTAACCCTTTTAATGTAATTGCATACTTTCGACACGTCAGTATATTTTGTACAAGTTTTGTTAAGTATTAATGTCTTGTTATTGAATCTCTGGTTTTGTTCAGTGTTAGTCGCAGCGCTTTGTTTTGTGTAGTTTGTAAAATAAAGTTAGCAAATCGAATACTCTGGTAAAAACACGAAGTCTTTCAGAAAGTTAATTATAAATAAATAGTAAAATTAAAATAAAAAAATATGTTTGTGCTTTTCTAGGTTACGTAATTTCTATGTGTATCATTACTGTTTTGTGTTATGTAATATTAACATTTACTTGTAATAGGAAGTAAGCCTTTTAACTTTATTCTATACTGCATTGTATACTAAGATGTATAAATTTTGACGAGAAATAATGTCTTGTTATTGCGTCTCAGTACCTCAGTGCTTTGTTTTGTGTAGTCTGTATTTTGGGAAATACATTTAGTAAATCGAAAACTGTATTAGAAACTCAAAGTCTTCAAGGTAATAAATTGTATCTCTGAACTAAAATTATTATATCTATGTTTTTCTAAGTTACGTAACATCAACGTAACAAAATTGTTCCGTAACATTAGCAATTTCACTACATTTCGCAGTCTACCTTGCAAAAATATTTTCCAAAATTCAAAAATGTTTTATTACAAAACAAACGATTTCTAATTCTTTTATCATTTACTGACTTGTAAGAATCATCCGTCTCCGTCCTCAGCACCTCTGGCGGCGAATACGGCAACCACTCGTTTCGCCTTCGTACAGTGGCGCCGACTTTGCGAGTTTCGCCGAAGTCGCACAACTTGACTCGGGAGAAATCGGATTTGAAAACTAGAATGTTATCTAATTTTACATCCCTAATAAAATAGATAGATTATTAAAATTAATAGAAATTTTATTTATGTAAAAAAGTTTTTTTAGAAAAATTAAGTAAAAATTTATAGACCAATTTTTGTATAACAAACTAATGTTGTGGCAAGGCCATGTTATGAAGAACTTTCCTTACTAAATATTGACAAAGCCATGTAGTTACTGTGCAGTCAGGCGTTTTTCTCAAGATACAATAGAAAACCTAACCTAGAAACTGCTCAAATGTCAAAAAAAAAAACAATGTTAGGTAACAGGGTCTTTCTGACTCAGCTTTATAACATGACGTTGACGTTGTAGTTTATGTGTAAAACGCCTAAATACACAGCAAATACATTATGACAGTATTCAGCATATGACATTTTGACAGTATTCAGATCATTTAGTAGAATAATGTATGGAAGTTGGAGCGTAACATGGCCTTGCCATAACATTTATCTGATTTGCGGCAGAATCGGGCCCTTAATCTAATTTTTTAAAAATATGATGAAATATGAATGTTTTTTTTTACCTGTGTACTAAATCTTTGGCGTGCAAAAAATCCAAAGCAGCTGCTATTTGTTTTGCAACTTTCTTCGAATGTAAATCTCCTATGCCATTTTCAGAAACATTTGAGGTTAGGTCACCTGAAAGTAATAAATAAATGAATTATTTTACTGCAATTTGATTTTAAAAATGTCATTATATACTGTCAGTACATCAGTCTGTTCGTGTAAGTGTTTTGTCAAGTAGAAATATTGCATTATTGGGACGTTCTCTTTGTTCAGTGCTAGTCACAGTGCTTTGTTTTGTGTAGTCTGTAGTTTGCGTAAGTTTGTATTTGATGTAAAACGTATAGTAGAGTCGATCTTTTTTTTAATTACAATATTTATTACAACTGTTGAATAATTTAACATCTAGCAATATAATATTTAAATATATAAACATAAATTTAAATAAATAAGAGTACAAAGGATAGAATTTACATTAAAATGATAGCCGTAGTATGATGATTTAATATAAAATAAAAGCAAATAATAATGAAAATAAAATTAATAAATAAAATAAATAAAATTTCTGAATAATAGGATAATACTAGAAAAACAATAAAGTGGAATTAAAACAATAAGTGACAGATAATAATAAATATAACAAAATAACAATATTAGAAATAATAAAATAATAAGATAATAATAATAATAAGATAATAATAATAATAATAATAATAATAATAATAATAATAATAATAATAATAATAATAATAATAATAGAGTCGATCTGATTAGTTTTATTCTATAAATTAGTTAAATGTAGTAATGTTTCATTATAGGGACGTTCGTTTTGTGCAGTGCTAGTCACAGTGCTTTGTTTTGTGTAGTCTGTGAATTTTTTAAGTTTGTAATTGATGTAAAGCATATAATAGAGTCGATCTGATTAGTTTTATTCCATAAATTAGTTAAATGTAGTAATGTTTTATTATAGAGACGCTCTCTTTGTTCAGTGTTAGTCACAGCGCTTTGTTTTGTGTAGTCTGTAGTAATGTTTCATTATAGGCGCTCTCTCTTTGTTCAGTGTTAGTCGCAGCGCTTTATTGTGTGAAAAGCGTATAGTAGAGTCGATCTGATTAGTTTTATTCTATAAATTAGTTAAATGTAGTAATGTTTCATTATAGGGACGCTCGCTTTGTTCAGTGTTAGTCGCAGCGCTTTATTTTGTGTAGTCTGTAGTTTTCGCACGTTTGTATTTGATGTAAAACGTATTGTAGAGTCGATCTGATTAGTTTTATTCCATGAATTAATTAAATGTAGTAATGTTTCATTACAGCGACGCTCGCTTTGTTTAGTGCAAGTCACAGCGCTTTGTTTTGTGTGGTCTGTGGTTTCCGTAAGTTTTTGTAATTGATGTAAAGCGTATAGTAGAGTCGATCTGATTAGTTTTATTCTATAATTTAGTTAAATGTAAAAATGCTTCATTACAGGGACGCTCGCTTTGTTCAGTGCTAGTCACAGCGCTTTGTTTTGTGTAGTCTGTAGTTTCCGTAAGTTCGTATTTGATGTAAAGCGTATAGTAGAGTCGATCTGATTAGTTTTATTCTATAAATTAGTTAAATGTAGTAATGTTATATTATAAAAACGCCGGCTTTGTTCAGTGCTAGTGACAGCGCTTTGTTTTGTGTAGTCTGTAGTTTGCGTAAGTTTGTATTTGATGTAAAACGTATAATAGATAACGTATAATAGTTTCATTCTACTTAAAAATTAATTATTACCTAAAGGTGCATACTCTTGTGAGAAGACATAAAATCCAGCAGTTTCAAAAGCAACATCGTAGGTTGTGATCACGTTTTTATGTTGACCAAGGTGCAAACCGTAGTGGAATTCTCTGAAAAATATTTAAAAAAAACATGCATTACTACAAATATTGTTTAAAGTTAATTTTATGTAACAGCTGCAACGTTGCGGTTGCGTAAACTAGACAACTTCAATTTAAAATTTTAAATATGTAAACTACAATTTTGCTATTAGTATTGTATCATTATTAGGTCCCTTAATGAGTTCTGTGCAAGTCACAGTGCTTTGTTTTGTGTAGTCTGTAGTTTAAATACAATTTTCAATTTATCTCGTCGATTTATATAATTGATGTTCGTATAGTTTTGTCGTCGCCACGACGTCGTATTAAATCTTGTTATCCGTGCAAATATTTGGCACGACTTCAAAAATGTTTGAAGAAAGAAACAATGGATGGAGCAACAATATTCTCTTGATTCAAATTTGCAGGAGCTCAATCACAACATTAGTATATGAGCCAATGGTAAAAAAAAACTACTTTTTGATATAATTTTCATACATATATATCGTGTCATGTGGTGTTATAGATCGGGCGCTCAGGAAACGACTTGACCAATTTTAATACAATTTTTTAATCACATTGATTTAGGCAAGAATTATTTTTATACACCTTAGATTTTTTTGACAAATTTCTTTAATTTTAATTTGATTTACCAAAGCCTATCACGTATTTTTGTATTTTTTTCAAAATTTTATGGTGAAGTTGCGTTTGCAGGGCCAGTTAGTATATGTATGTATATATACATATACTAGCTGGCCCGGCCAAAATCGGTTTTCAGCCAAATTTTCCAAATAAAAATAATAATAAATATTTCAATTTATTATTTCGCACGTTTTGGCGCTGTATGCGTGTCGCCATTCAGTAAGTTCAAAAAAATTATACAATTTAAATATTTCACAAAAAACTATATATATATATATATATATATATATATATATACTAGTTGACCCGGCCAAAGATGTTTTTTTAATCAAATAGTCGAAATAAATATTTGATATTTACTTGAATTATTATTATTTATTTTATACCTTTTGACGCCCTGTGCAAGCCATCATTAAAAAAATTATAGAATTTAAATATTTTACAAAGAAACTACACATATATATATACTAGTTGATCCGGCAAAGCCAATTTTTCCAAACCAAATTATTGAAATAAAATCATGATTGGCATTTAAATTATTTTTTCGGACGTTTCGACGCTGTATGTGTGCCATCATTTAGCAAGATCAATAAAATTATAAAATTCAAGTATTTTACAAAAAATACTGTTCATATATACTAGCTGACCCGGCCAAAAACATTTTCTCAACCAATTTGTTGAAAGAATAAATAGAGAATTACTTCAATTATTTATTTTATACGTTTGGGCGTTATATGTGGGTCATCATAAACTTGGTTCTAAAAAATATACAGTTTAGGTATCTTACAATATATTTACTACATATATATAATAGCCGACCCGGGCGAAGAAAATTTTTCAAACAAATTATTTTATTAAAAAAATGATAGATGTTTTAGTTATTTATTTTGTACGTTTTGACGGCGAATGTGTGTCATGATTAAACAAGTTTTTGAAATGATATTGTAATATATATTTTGCACTAAAGAAAAATAATTGCATTTAATTACACAAAAACACTTCAAAAATATATAATTCAATTATTTTGCAAACTTTCTAAAATCTCTATTTTTTCTCAAATATATCCATTATTTAAAACCAAACTTTTAAAAGATAAGATAAAACAAGATTCCGCAAATTTCCCAAGATCACATTTTTTTTCTAATAATCCCTGTATTTTGTATAAACAAAAGTATATATAATAGTTTTATGAACTATCTTAACTAAAATACATTTAAAAATAAATAGTTTTTAAAAACTATCTGAACGCAATTATTTTTTTTAATAAAAGAAGCATAAAACTTAAGACAGAGATAAAAGAATGCATATTATAAAAAAATAACAGATAAAAATGGTACACCAAGAAACAAAATTTAATTATAAATAAAGTTTGAAATAAAATTTAGTTCAAATAATAATAATATTCGAGCATATTTTCGACCGTTACCCGCACTATTCGCAAGTCTATACATTTGTTTTGCAATTTCGCGACGTCTGCATTTATTATTAGTACTTATCTTATCCCAGGCGTTATTATTCTAACATTTGATGCCAATAAATTTTATTGGAATTTATCACAAACACACACAAAAATACACACACGTAGAAATAATAATTCATTTAAAAAAAGAAATATTTTATCAGAACTTATGAGCTGTGTAAATGGGCAACCCAAATGGTTGTCCTATGCCTAGAGAGCCTCGTTTATAAAATAAATATTATAATATTTTTTAGTATAATATTATAATTTGTTTTAGAAATATATGTATTTTTTCTATTTACCTGAAAAAGTCCCTTAAAGATACATAGGGCTTAGGAAGGGCCTTCAAGACCATCTCAGTGTCTGTCCCTTTGTGTTCAACTAATAAAATTTTTCCAAACCAACCTTCGCCCACGATTTGCAAAATGTCGAATTCTTCTGCAAGACATACCTGAAAAAATAACCAAAATGCTAAAAAAATAATAAAAAAAATTTACTAACGAATTCATTTCATGATATATATCTTCTATGTTTAGTATAGTATAATAATAAGGCTGTGTAATTTAACAATAAATAAATTATTAAGTAGAAACGAAACATACATAAACAAAACCTAATCGAGCCAAGCAAGAATAAATTCATTCGAAGACATTTCATATTTATAAGAATCATATAAAACAACGCTTTTATTATATACAAATTCTTTAGAATTTAACTAACTTTAGATTTTTTGGCAAATTCAAATATTTAGAAAAATAGATTTAATAAATTTAATTATATTCATTTTCGATCATTAAAAAAGATAGATTTTCAAATAAATATTTTTTTCCCATTTTTTTTTTAATAAATTTAGTTTTTTTTGAAATTTTGACATATAGTTTGTTTTAATTTTGTTAAATTTTACACTCTTAACTCATTCTTTTTTTATAATATTATATTTTTTTGAAATTTGGTAAAATAAAGTTTTTTTCTGAAAGTTTGGGGAATTTTTCAGTTTTCTGCGCTTTTTGTTCCGTATTCTTTTTAATATTTTTTTTTTGAAATCATATAATAGATTTTGTTAATTTTGTGAAAATTTAGAGAACTTTGCACTTTTTGCTCGTATCTCCGAAACGCCTAGACCTGCCTTTGCCAAAAACTAATCAGCGCGTCATCTCATCAGTAAGAATCAAACGATATTTCAAAATTTTCTTATTCGATAGTTAGCAATTGTCTTATTGCCATAGCAAGTTTTCCGAGGAAATTCCATTTTTGGAAGGGGAGTACTGTGGCGGTGTTTTTACGATGCAGAGAAAACAAATGAGTCGTGACAGTTATGATCTGTTCATACGAACAGATTATTAAATTTATAAATTAATACTTTTGTAATAATTTTTATTGATTTAGTAAATAATCTAAATTTAGAGATAAACTATTAATATAATATAGCTTTTAATTTAATAGCTTTTTTACCTTTTCCAATTCAAATTCTCGTATCTTGTGTATGTTTCCTAGTTTCACAGCCATAACTCTCTGAAAAATAAAAATTATAAGATTATTTTCGAATAACCTTGCTCTCTTATCTTATTAAAAATTTGAAATAATATAAGAGAGCACATTAGGTATTTAGAGAGTTAATTAGCTATACATGAATAATTTCACTTATAATTTTTAAAATCGTTATTTAATATGATTAATATATTAGAGAAAATTGTTTAAAATTAAATTATCTATATTATTTTCTAATATTATGAATCCCTACAGCAACTCGGTATACTTTAAAACAGCAATTGAAGACAGAAAATGCTTCAGAGCTCTGAAAGTGCACTTATGATTATACACAAAAGTTTAATGAAATGGTGATTTGTTAATTATATCCCTTGTAACTTGTAAACCGTTGATCAAAAATAATTGAAATATTTGACAAAATTGTTAAAAACTGAGTAATCTAACTTTATAATGCCCTACAGCAACTCGGGATACTTTAAAATAACAATCAATAACAGATAATCTATCAGAGCAAGTACATTTATTTATTTAAGTACTCACGAGGTTTTTTAAAACGTTGATTTGTATATTATATCTCTTGTAACTTTTGAACCGTTCATCTAAAATGAATAAAATATTCGGCAAAGTTATTTAAAATTAAATAATCTATAAAGTTTTTTAACATCGTAGTGCTTTACGGCAACTCGGTATACTTTGAAATCACATTTGAAAATAAGCATGATAATATTTCATTATAACATTTACTCTAAAAATATATGTGTGCATTTGTTCAATGCATCTCTTATAACTTCTAAACGGTTCATTTGATTCAAACAAAATATTCTACAAATATATTCGAAATTTAACAATCTAAAATATGTTAAAACATTATGACGCCCTACAGCAACTCAGTCTACTTTAAAACCTCATTTGAAAATTTAAGACGAAAGCGCACTACCAATAACTACACATCCGCGTATTTAGTTAGTATTTCTCTTGTAACTTCTAAACGGTTAATTTGATTCAAACAAAATATTTTACAAATATATTCGAAATTTAACAATCTAAAATATGTTAAAACATTATGACGCCCTACAGCAACTCAGTCTACTTTAAAACCTCATTTGAAAATTTAAGACGAAAGCGCACTACCAATAACTACACATCCGCGTATTTAGTTAGTATTTCTCTTGTAACTTCTAAACGGTTAATTTGATTCAAACAAAATATTTTACAAATATATTCGAAATTTAACAATCTAAAATATGTTAAAACATTTTGACGCCCTACAGCAACTCAGTCTACTTTAAAACCTCATTTGAAAATTTAAGACGAAAGCTCACTACTAATAACCACTCATCCGCGTATTTAGTTAGTATTTGTCTTGTAACTTTCAAACAGTTCGTCTAATATAAATGAAATATTTAACAAATTTATGCAAAATTGAATACTCTAAAATTTGTTTTAACATTATGAAATCCTAGAACAACTCGGTATATTTTAAAATCGCATTTGAAATCAGAAACTTGATAAAAACGCTTCAATTTGCTACACATATATTTATTTTTACATTTATAACTCTTAAACCGCTCATCTAATTAAAATGAAATATTTGACAAATTTGTTCAGAAATAAATGATTTATAAATATTTCTAACAGTATGTAACATTAAAGCAACTCGGTATACTTAAAAATAACATTTCAACAGATAAAATAAATCCAAGGGCGCGTTTGACAAAACGTTCGTGTATTTCATGATTAAATCGCTTGTAACTTTTAAAATAATAATCTGATATACATAAAATATTTGACAAATTTGTTCAAAATTAAATTGTTTATGATATTGTTTAATATCATAAAGCCCTACACCGACTATTTTTACTTTAAAATTACTAACTAAGGTTACGAGTAAGGAATATAACCAGATAATTCTTTTAGTGCCTTTATTGGAAATATCTCTTGTAACTTTTAAACGGTTTGTTTAATATAAATGAAATATTTAGTAAATTTGTACAGAAAAAAATAATCTATAATATTTTCTAACATCTTAAAGCTGTAAAACAACTCAACAATTATTAAAATCGCCAACAAAATAGGAATCATAAAAACTATTTCACAAAATTTAATGGCATTTATTTATAATTTCTCTTGTAACTTTAGGTGCGTCCAAAATTTATGAAATATTTGGCAAATTTGTACAAAATTCAACAATCTTTTATTTTGGTTAATATCATAAAGCCCTACAGCAACTCGGTATACTTTAAAATCGCATAAATCTCAATGCTATAATTTTTAAAATATTTTTTTTCTAAACATAATATTTCAAAAGAAATGAATTACAGATACCTATATTTATTTTGGCACATCTCGACGTCGATTTCGAATTCTTTGCCAAAAAAATGCTTAAAATTTATAGATTTATTAATATTACGTATGTGATAAACGATATTATAAAAATTATATAGTTTTATCGCACCTAGTGATATAATAATAGGTAAAAATAGATCACTAAGCAACTTAAAACGATTTTGAAGTGCATTTTTTACATAAGCTTGTTCTAGTGCGATTTATGAGTATACCGAGTTGTTATAGAGCATTTTAGTGTTAGAAAAGGTTGTAGATTATTTAATTTTATACAAATTTGCCGAATATTTCATTCAAATTAGACAAACAGTTCAAAAGTTACAAGAGTTACAACAAATATAATAAATAGGTAAAAATAGATCACTAAGCAACTTAAAACGATTTTGAAGTGCATTTTTTTACATAAACATGTTTTAGAACAATTTATGAGTATACCGAGTTGCTGTAGAGCACTTTGGTGTTAGGAAAAGCTGTAGATTATTTAATTTTCTACAGATTTGCCGAATATTTCATTCAAATCAGACAAACCGTTCAAAAGTTACAAGAGTTACAAGAAATATAATAAATAGGTAAAAATAGATCATTAAGCACGAGCGCTGTATTTAATTTTTTAAAGTCATTTATGAGTATACCGAGTTGCTTTAGGGCATTTTGTTAGAAAAAGTTCTAGATTATTTAATTTTGTATAAATTTGTTAAATATTTCATAAACTTTGGACAAACCGTTTAAAAGTTACCAATAATTTCCCAAATATTCACCTATCTTCGGAGTTTATGTTTCTGTAATAGTTTGTTTTCTAAGGCCATTTTAAAGTATACCGAGTTGCTGTAGGATATTTTGTTGTTAGAAAAAGTAGTAAAGCATTTAATTTTGTGTAATCTTGCAAAATACATCATTTATTTTGAGTTTCTAATTTAAAAGTTACAAATAATTTCCCTAGTATTCACCTATCTTCAAATTTGATGTTTCTGTATTATTTTAGTTTCTGTAGTATTTTCTCAGGCCATTTTAAAGTATACCGAGTTGCTGTAGGGTTTCATGATGTTAGAAAATATTATAGATAATTCAATTTTGAATAAATTTGCCGAATATTGCATTCAAATCCGACAACTCAATCAAAAATTAAAAAAGAAATTATAAACAAATACATATTCACACTCTTCACGACTACGTATCATGGAAGTGCTCATGTGTAATGATTTTTTTATTTTACATTCAATTGCGATTTTGAAGTATACTGAGTTGCTGTACAGTCTTATGATATTAGACAACATTATAGATGATTTAATTTTAAATAATTTTGTCGTATATTGTATTAAAATCCGACAATTTGTTCAAAAGTTATAAAAGAAATTATAAACAAATACACATACAAACAACTCTTAATCATCGAAGCGGAAAAGAATTTTAGTTTTCCAACAAGAGTTTCAAGTATACAGAGTTGCTGTAGGTTTTATAATATTGCACAATATTTTAAATTATTTAATTTTATACAAATTTTTAAAATATTTCAATTAAATCAGATTAATATTTTTAAAGTTACAAGACTTGTTATAAATGAATTGTCTAGGTTGTAAAAATACTTTAAAAATTCGATTATTTTTAAATGCATTTTTAAAGTTTAACGAGTTGCTGTAGGGCATTGTGATGTTATATCATATCATATTAGAAACTGTGAAAGATAATTTAATTTTGAATAAATTTGTTGAATATTTTATTTAGATACGACGCTTTGTTCTAAAGTTACAAAATAAATTGTACACGAACCTGTAAAATGCATTTAAAATCATGCATAAAGCACATTGAATTGATTTTTTTGTTTTCAATTCCAATTTTAGAGTATACCAAGTTGCTGTATGTACTTGTAATCTTTAAAAAATATAACGATAATATAATTTTAAACAAATTTGTTGAATTGTGTATTTATATCGAAAGACTAATTTAGAAGAAATACGACAAATAATTACCAAGTGTATAAGCAATGGAATTGAAGTGATATTTTGTTTTCAAAAATAATTTTAAAGTATATCGAGCTGCTTTATGGATTTATGATGTTAGAAAACATTTTAAAATATTTAATTTGTCTAATATTAAAAAATATTTGAACAAATTTGTCTAATATTATATTTAAATCTGATAGCCAGTTTAAAAGTTATAAGACAAATAATAAACAAGTACACACATTCCTACTACTCACAGTTATAATTGAACTCGAAATGTTTTTTTGCATTCAATCTTGATTCTGAAGTATACCGAGTTGCTGTAGGGCTTTAAAATGTTAGAAAACATTAAAGGATATTAAATTTTAAACAAATTTGTCAAATATTTTATTTAAATTAGACAAACCGTTCAAAAGTTACAAGAGTTACAATAAATAAATGTACAAACCAGCTACTGTTTGTCTTGTCACAAATGCACTTTCAAAGCTATCACAAAGATTTTCTGTCTTTGATTGATATTTTAAAGTATTCTGAGTTGCTGTAGGGCATTATGATGTTAGATAAAATTATGGACAATTTAATTTTAAACAAATTTGCCGACTATTTTGATGACTTTGGACCTTGCTGTAGGGCATTATAATGTTAGAAAACATTAGAGACAATTTAATTTTGAACAAATTTCGTAAATATTTCGTAAATATGATGTATATCATCGGACAACCCGTTTAAAAGTTA